CTGACATTAAACTGTGCTCTTGGCTGTTATGAGTAGCGTGATTATGAGTAGCGTGATTATGAGTAGCGTGATTATGATTAGCGTGATTATGATTAGCGTGATTATGATTAGCGTGATTATGAGTAGTGTGATTATGAGTAGCGTGATTATGAGTAGCGTGATTTTGAGTAGCGTGATTTTGAGTAGCGTGATCATGTCAAGAGTCTGCAAATGGGAAACAGCTTTTTCTTGAGCTGAGATTGCCTGCGTGCCTCTGACATACTCTGCACAAAAAAAAAGTTATGCCACACCATGAACACATATTATAAACTACAATAATACCCGTTTGATATAGAGTTATTGCTACTGTAAACCGTAAAAAAGCAAAGATGTTTTAACAAAAGACATAATAGCTAAAGCATTTTAATTCCTGTAAATATATGTCTGAGTGTCTGTGTGTGTGTTTGTGTGTATTGCTTCATTTGTATTTATTTCCTTAGTCTGCCATTCCCTCTGATAAGATTAATAGGGAGTGTGTTACATGCACCAAGCGTGGCCGTTGCACTATGTTTATGGACACTCCTGATTCACACTAAATGTTTCTCTATCATATTTCTTCTGCATTCCAACAAACTGACAATGTTAGTTTTTAAAAAGGGCAGCTTAAAAATGCCCTTAACATGTTAAGTGTTACTGACGATCATCGGGTACCGTTGCCTTCTGTCCACTTCCATGCCAGGACAAGCTCAATTCGTCTTTGAGGATGGAAAAATGGTGCGAAGGCAGACGTACCTTATCGATGGCTTTTCCCACCCTGGACACGCTGCTGTGGATGTCCTTATGGTGCACGGCCAGTTTCTGCACCGTGTCTTTTATTCGCTTGCAGCACTGAGACAGAACCAGCGACAGGGTGCCTGACAGCTCTAATTCTAAGCAGAAAACACGGAAAAACATTTGGTAGCTTTCAAATGATCCCTATTATTTTCATTAAAAGCGATCTATGAAAATAATTTTGATAAATGTATCAAAATAAATTAAATCTACATTTTATTATTGGATGCAAAGATAATCCAGGTGAATTTCGGTATTTATCAAACGGAGCGAAACGATCCCCCCCCCCGCCCTGCAGTGCTATCGGAGTTTTGTTTTGCAGACACCTACCCCAACATTTCTAAAAGGTTATAAACAGTGAAATCAGTGAAAATGTTTAAAATGTATTTATGTGTTACAGATATATAACTGATATCAAGTGAAAGTAGTCCTTGTATCCTTTGTTTTGGTTTTTCCTCACTTAAAACCGATTCTCCACATGTTTGTAGGCATTAATGGCGCCGCTGATTCATTCGTATGCTGGAAATGCACCCAAAGTTTGGGAGCGATCTAAGAGCATGAAGATTTGTATTAGGATTTCAAGCATTAAACTAAGCCATTAAACCGACTACATGTAATATTTCAGTGACAAAGCGTTCAGCATATTAAATACGCCTAGTACAAAGAACATATTTAATGGTATAGACTTAACCTATATCACATAATTTGCCGACTATAGTTGATTATTATAGCAGAAAAGTTCGGATCATGTCATATATTCGCTTTAAACAGATGAATGCATTTGTCAACAGAAGCGAAATCTTTGTCCTACCAACCAGATTTTAAGCATTATTTGCAGCGCATCTGAGTATTTATTTTATATCAAGTTAAAAAAAATGTTTCCCCAACAACAGCATAAAAAAAAACTTACCACCAGCCTGTACAATTTCGTCCTTCAGCCCACTTGTGTAATCGACAAGTTCCTGTAGCACTTTATCGCAATGTTGTCCATAGCTGGAGAAATTTTGAAGCACTTTCTCCAACTCTCGCTCCACGTTTACACATTGATCCATAGGCTTGACAGACCCAGAGCACTCTGATCAATTACAGCTTCTTAAAATAGTAACTACGTACCAACCAACACGCTATTAACAATGCGATTTCAATATATTGTTAAAGGTGACCGTTTGCTACCTAACAACTTCACACACGATCCGCTTAAATAACGACTGCCGTCGAATTTGCTGACTTGTGTTATCTAGTGTCAGCATGAACTGCAAAATTAAATACAGAAAAGCTATTCCAGCTCAGATCGGTTTGCTAGCAACATAGCAAAATGCCCTTTGTAAAGTAAACAGCGTACAGCCAATGCTAACCCGTCCACTAAGTGTGCAACGCAGCTCTTATTTATTTCCGAGCATACCTCCCAACATCTACAACTTCCCTTGCCATATTTTTAGTAACGTGAAGGGAACGACAACAAGGTGTAGAAAATGTACTTCCGGGGGTGGGACTGTACTTTTCAAAATAAAAGTCTGCGCTTTCCGAGTGTAAAATTAAAAAAAAAATAAAATGAAAAGCGTATCATATAAGAATTCGTCAGATTAATAAATTGGCATAATTTATGAGTAATACATTTCATATGATGATTATAATGAATAATTAATAATATCGCAAACAATTCTTGTGAAACATTTGATACACCTATATACGGCTTATGTGAGAAATTAATGTAGATATAATCCGGGCTGATATGAAAACACTGGTGTGTATGGACATGATGTTGTCGAATATCAGTAAATATTTGTACTTGTTCGAATTGGATACCATTACACACGTGTTTACACACAGTGCATTTCTGAAGAAATATCAGGGGCGCACTTAGGCCTTTTTAGGGGGGCTTTAGCAATCCAGAAATGCCTTATAGCCCCGCCCCACTAAATGTGTATTTGATTTAGTCATGAATAGCTTTTTATATGTTAGCCATCGCCCCCTCCCCCACTCAAGACTCCGCCCCTCTGTCCATTCAACTCTAACTGCGCCCTCAGTTAATTCTCACATTTTTTCATAAATCAGTTCAAATTAATGCTACAGTGTCATTGTTCTTTATTGTGACATCGACTTTAATTAATCTTTAACTGATCTTTTGGGTAAAGTCCACACACATAAATATATGTTCAGTAAACCTAAAACGTTATTTTGTATTAATTACTTTGAAACAATTTTATAACTTACTGTCCATATTATCTGAAAAAGCAGCTAAAACAGTGTAATATCACTTTAAATTTAAACCTCACTATTAATGCTTGACAGGGACCATATATAAGTAATTAAATCATTCTCAAATTTAAACGACTGAAAGAATTTTGAACGACTTAATTTTGGAGTAGATATATGGATATTTGATATTTTTCTTACCCTTTTCTCTTCAAAGTTACCTCACTTCTATAATGCATTGAGAAGAAATATCGCTCCTCAATAGATCAAAAAAGTAATTATAGTAAATAAAAAAGAAGAAGAAGTAATAAATAGAATATAAATATGTAAGACACATAAGACATATTAAAACATTAGACAGTCAACAAATCCAGACATGTCTGATAATTATTTTCCTGGCAGTAATAACCCAATTGACGTTGTTTCTAAATAATTATTTGCATTCATTTATTTAGCAGACATATTTTTAGCCAATCAAATCAAAATGCCATAAATTAAGGGCATAACTTTGGGTTGAGCAGTGGGGGGTTGAGGTCTCCATCCATTTAAGGGTCCAGTGGGCTGTATTGGCTGGATTTGATTATTGGAAGCATTAAAACCCCCCATAATTTACACCAATGCCATAAGGCATGAGGTTCCTACTTGATTTGTGCATAATAAAAGAGCATCCAGTTCAGTGGTTGGATAAGGTTAATTGGACTGTTCCTAGAAAATATGGTTCATGAGTCCCTACTCTCCAGATGTGCATGGGTAGCTCATTCCACCACTGAGGAATAATGATAAATGTCTAGAGTGAGACTCATTTACACATTGTGGAGGGACCACTAGGTGGCGCTAGCATGCTAACTGAGGAGGGAGAGACAGCATGTGGTCCAAATAAGCAACTTGTTAAAAGGGGGTGCCCTTCCATTAATGGCTCTGAAAGCCAGCAATAAGGACTTGAGCTTTATGCAAGCACTTAAAGGGAGCCAATGATGAGAGACAAGGACGGGCGTAACGTGATAGCATTTCGGTTAACTGAATACCAGTAGTACTGCTGTATTTAGAATGGTCTGCCATGGTTTTATGGCACATGCTTGAAGCCCTGTCAGTAAAGAATTATAGTAATCTATCAATGATATGCTAACAAGTGATTGCACAAGGAGTTCAGCAGCTAATTCTCATAGATAAGGTGTGATTTTATTCAATATCAGTAAAGTAAATGTATAAAACAACTGTAATGTATTAAGAAAATCTGCTGCTCATCTGACAGAAGATATCAAATGTAAATGAGGCCAGCTGAGCAATATTGATTAATTTTTATACAGGGTCAAGCAATATTTGCCTGATTCTTGCTTTTCTCCTACACTATTATCCATTCATCCATCCATCCACCTTCCAACTGCATGCTTATCCTGGCCAGGGTTGCAGGGTATATTATAATCAGGTTGTAAAATTAAACCTAATATAATAAACCTTTCGATGCTTTGAGACAGTTACCTTGAAATTGTACTATTTGATACAAATTCATTTAGTTTTAGTTTTTAGTTTTATAGTGATAGACTATATAACTTCAGCTGTGATGTATACTAAATTTAATGGTCTTCTAAATGTATGCAATGACACATGGCCCAGACATTACCATGTTACATAATCTAATATCCCTATGTCCGTCTATCCATCCATCCATCCATGCATCCATCCATCCGTCCATCCACACATCCACACATCCATCTTCTGTACCCACTTGTCCTATTCAGGGTTGTGGAAGTCCATAGCCTATGGGTGCAAGCTAGGATGGGGTTCCAGTCCATCACATGGCACACTCACACTCCATTCACACAATTTGGTAATGCAATTTCACCTCTGCATGTTTTTGAACTGTGCAAGGAAGCCAGTGTACCTGAAGGAAACCCCACGACAACAGGGAGAACGCGCAAACTACACATACATATTGAGCCATGGTAGAGACCTGAACCATAATTTATTGTTTTATATTCATATTTTACTCATTATCATTTTTTCCTCATGTCACTGACTTGCAAAAGCCTGTCCTTTCCCACCATGTTGCTCATTGGTTCTGCTCTCATTCATTTTCAGCAAAGTGTTATAATATTATAACTATTCCACCATCATGTGTGACTTTCGCTAATTTATGGTAATAATTATGTAAGCACAAAGCATATGCGGTGTGTTTATTATTTTCTGCGGGTCCTTGAGCAAGACCCTCAATCCCCAGCTCCCTGGGCGCCGCTACGGGTGGCTGCCCTTCGCGGACAGCTTGCTCTACAAAGAGCAAGTTGAGGGAGGCGTAAAAACAATTTCCCCACGGGGATCAATAAAGTATCAATTATTATTATTATTATTAATAAAGTGGTTGTGTATCCTCCCTCTGCGCGGCTTTCCTTCCGAAGTTGAAAGAGACGTATTAGGTGAAATTTTCATTCATAAGTCATTCTGTGTGTGAATATCTGCTTATATGATGTGCCCTTTGATGCATTTTCATTCCATCCAGACACAGTTTCTCGATTCTTTACGCGCCACATGCAGTTATAACTCCCGGCCTTAGGTGGCAGCATTGAATGTCGACCTAGCATCCCACGATCTAAAGAAGAAGAGTGCGGTTACGTCATATGTTGTGGATATCAGCTGATCTGTTCTGACGGAGCGACGAAGCGTCACTGACTCGGGGGGCGACTGTGGTATCTGTCCTAGATGCGGCGGTCTAATGTCTGCGATCGGAAAGTTGCATTGTGGCATGATGGCATCCACATGCTTCTTAAAAGCAGGAAAGAATAGTTAAACGACTCGCTAGAGCTAACTGAGGCGACTGTTGATATTATCTCTACGCTGTCGTGCGTTTCCCCCAACAGAAACAACTTTGCAAATGGTGGACAGGCAGGGACCTTACATCTGGCCTTAAGGCCTGGCTGTTGCGTTCAGCAGCAATAATAGTAAAATAGTAACAGTAATAATAATCGGAGGTCGTTCTTTAGCTGACAGTAATAATCTAAAGAGTTACACAGTTATAGACGAGCAGTCCATGCATATTTGCTGGTTCGTACCCGGATATTTCAGACGCACCAGCCGTAATCGTCCGATCGCGAAAGATGTGGCTGAAGTTATTTTTCCTGCTACTCTATTTCTTCTTGCTGTTCGTTCTGGCCCGTTTTTTTGAAGCTATCGTCTGGTATGAGACCGGGATTTTAGCTACTCAGCTGGTGGATCCCGTGGCTCTGAGCTTCAAGAAGCTGAAGACAATCCTGGAGTGTCGGGGTTTAGGATACTCCGGTCTACCCGAGAAAAAGGATGTCAGGGAGCTGGTGGAGAGATCAGGTGGGCTCAGCACACCGCATCTCTGACGTCGCAAGACAGTTCCTCTTTAAATGTGTTTTTTTATGCGCAAGTATAAGCGTTTTTTGATGAATAATATGTAAACATGCACGAACAGGCCTATAATTTGTATTTACACATTCAAAAATGGGTACCTCGATTTGGTAGCTCAAGTCTAGACAGCAGTATGAATAATTGTTTGGGTTTGCAGGCACCCTGATGCAAGGGGAGCTGTACTCTGCCCTGAAGAACGAAGAGGAGGACACAGAGCCAGCATCCAGCACCAGCTTCAGTGGAGAGGTGCACTTTTATGAGCTGGTTGAGGACACCAAGGATGGCATCTGGTTGGTGCAGGTAAAAATACAGCTTTTCACTGGAATCTGAGTCAATTAAGTTCTGAAGCACAATACTTTTTCTGAATAATTCTTAAGGGGCAAGGGTGAATAATTGTCCAGATGAATAGTTGTCCAGTAGAAAAAGTGTTTCAATGGATGCCCCAAGCTTTTGCTGAAACTAGATAGCTGTGGAAATGGAAGTCACCCTTAGCAAGTAATCGGTGGCAATAATTGCCAGTTCAGATATAAAGAGCAGATCATCTCTCCAATATATAGTTGTATGAAAATACGTTACTGCTGAATTAAATTACATAAGACTTTACAGTACGAGGACTTGGGCATGTAGACACTGGTATCAAGTCACTGTGATGGCTCTGTGTTTTATTAATGCAAAAATAAAAAAGAAGAAATCTCCCCAAAATTACAATAACACAGTTCATAAGCAGTTTCTCAGAACCTCGTTTACGTAGCTGGCCTGATGGTGCAGAATCAGCGCTGAAAAAATAACATGTCGAGTCCCCTGGACCTCGTACAAATGTCAGTGTAGAAAAGAAAGGAACTTGGGTGAGTTTAAGGAGGAAAATGTAGCTAGTGTTTCAAAGAGTGTTATACTGTCTTTAGGATGGTTCTCGCTGGGTAGTTCTGTCATCTCCAGTGAGAAGGGCTGCGGGTTGGAACCCGAGCTCCTTGTTTGTGGAGTTTCCAGGTTCTCCTTAAGATTGCTCTGGGCACGTCTGTTTTCCCGCAAGTGTGACTCAGTATTCTCCATCCCTATTGGCTGGGAGTTAATGTCCCGCCCCCTGTTACTTTATTTACCATTTTTATATGGTCACACCCTTTCTGCACATGGCAGTTTTGTTTGTTTATCCTTTTATTTTATATATAGTGGCAGGGCTTGAAAATGAAAACTTTTCTGTTATGTGACCAAATTTAGCTTTTTATTTTTTTAATGGGTTAGCTATAAGCAGTTTATGCCAGACTCTGACCACTGAGTCTTATATGCTGCATTCTTCTTCATGCCTTTGTTTTCATGTAGATGTTGTCTAAAGTTCACATGTCCGGTCATACGTCTGGATAACATCTCCTGCGTTTGTGGTCTGCAGCCCGTGAATGATAGCTGCATATATTAATAATAATTGATGCTTTATTGATCCCATAGGGAAATTCTCTTTACAATTTGCTCTTTGTAGAGTAAGCTGTCCACAAAGGGCAGCCACCTGTAGTAGCGCGCAGGGAACTGGGGATTAAGGGCCTTGCTGAAGGACCCACAGATGTGCCGAGGCTGGGTTTGAACCAGCGACCTTCTGATTACAGGCACACAGGCTTAGTCCGCTGAGCCACATGCTGCTCCATGTGAATGGGTTAATTGGGCTGCTTTTTATTTAGCTAATATATAAATGTGGGTAGCAGCTTTTCTTGTATTAAGAAGATTTAATCTGATGGTCTCTGCATGATCCATGCTGGAATTGATGATACCTACCTTAATTTGAAACATGATTTGATTATTGCTTTTATTCTTTTATTTTGTTGATACCTTAGTCAGCTCCCCCATCCTGCTTTCTGATTAAAAAAAAACAAATCTGGCCTCGTCTGCCTGCATTCATGCTTGGCAGGTAGGTATACATATGAAGAGCACAGCAAGCAGGCTGACACGTCATCGCCAAACCTATGACTGTTCAGTATCACATAGGCACTTCATGCCGGCAGACGTTCTGTTGCCATAACTAGTTATGTAATTGGCTGCAGATTGTGGTAGGCGGGGCTTATTGTGCGATCCAGATGACTTTCCCTTGAATGGATCGGTTTTGGCTCCGGTCTTGCTTAAAAGCAGGGTGGGGGGAAGCTGCACCAGGCCTGGCTGAGCAAGTGCCAGGGAAACATTCGGTGGGATCAAACGTGGGTGTTTGTGTCCTTGTGCCGGTTGGGTTGCTTCGTGCACAGCACCCCGTTGGATGGCTTTGGGATGGAGTGTGTTTGGCATTCCGAAGTCGACTACCGGGACGGGTTGTACTAATATTTACTTTATGTGGGAAATTTATGTCGAAGTGTCATGTTGTAAAAAGCAGTGTTGAGAGCTGAATTCAGATGTGTGTTCACATTATGTTACAGTATTAGGTGCCGAATGCTATACTTTCAAAATAATGTGGTCAGTTGAATCATTCGTTTTTAAGGTGAATTAAATCCTGAAGACTTAAGTAATATTAGATTGACTATTTGAATTGTCGTATTTACATTGAGGGGCTCAAGGGAATCAAGCTGACTGACTTTTTTTTTCTGCTATATGCATAAATACTGATTGGCAGTTTGATTTAAAAAAAAAAAAATCATTTATCAGTTATGCGTTTTAAAAAGCCCAGTGTTGCTACTGGGAGGGGGGACCTGGTTCCTAAACAATGTTATTGGCTAAAGACTGCTAACAAAGCAAAGTGTGGATCTAAGCCAAGCCTACTCCAGCTTTGGTTGGTGCACCACTCAGGTGGCTCTTCTCCACCATGTTTATAAATGTGTTTGACATTGAGGTCAGTTCTCGGTCACAACCCAGACGAGTCTGATAAATCCTGTGGTAGCTGAAATGATTACCGATAAACACAGGGATCCCCCAGAACCCAGATGGTTTAAGCCTGGCCCCACCCCTTTAAAACTGCGGGATGTTGTTTAATTAATGCAGAAAAGTTTTCATTTCTTATCACATAAGAAATATTCATTTACATTTGCTTGGTCACTTTCCTTTCCTTCCTTAGTTTATCTTTCATTCTTTTTTTGTATTAAGTTTTGCCGCAATGTAATTGGCAGTGATTTTTTTTTTTTTAAACTAAAACCATAAAATTTCATTTACAGCAGGAGGTTTAATAAACCGTATGGAGTCTAATGCATCCAAACCCTTCAGTGGAACCTCAACCAAAGAGATCCATAAATTATTTCATTTATTATTTGAAATATCAGTAATGAGAACATTATGGGGAAATAATTACGATGATAAGATATGAAGTATTCATAGAAACCTGACATTCATTTTTTATTCATTTTATTCTAATCATCATGATGACAGAAGCTTTGCTGAGTGGATGCTGTAGGCCTTGGATGCTCTTCCTGACCAGGATCCTAACATTTTATTTACAGTTTACAAAAAACTCTTATTTAAAATGTCTTGGTTCTTAAGCCGCTAATTAGTAACGTTGAAGTGCTGCCTGGTCTTTATTTGCAATGCTCCAGCACCCAAGTTTGGATGTCAGAGTTGTGTGAGACGTTCCTGGTGAGCAAGACTGACTTTGCTGTCGGCTACATTTTAGGCATCGAGTCAGATCGTGTTTCGGGGCTTTGGGGTTTTGGCAGCGTAGTTGCAGATGCTTTTATTCCCTAGTAGGTGGTTATTCCCATCTCCTAAGTATAACGCCTCAGTAGGCTAAGTCTCTGTGCCTGTGATCGGAAGGTTGTCGGTTTGAGGCCCAGCCTGGGCAGATCAGTAAAATGTCTGTGGGCCCTTGAGCAAGGCCCTTAAGCACCCCCCATAATACTGTTCTGGTATACTACGGTTTGGTATATGTCAGTGCGATATGCACTGAAGCGGCGGTGAATAAAGGAACAGCTCAGCAGCCACATCATCTTTTAAAAGAGGAGATATTGTGGATAAACAAGGTGAAAAGACGTCGGAGGTGTGGTGGTACTTTCTGCAGTCCAACATGTTTATGAAACTTAAGGATACGCCGTATTTATACTGATTACTAACTTTTGGGCATCATAAAATGCCTCATTAATATTTTAGCCGTACTACTAATCTGCTCATCAAGTAATGGGTGTAAATAAACGTCCGTATAGCACCGAAATGCTGGCGTCCAGCCAGATGTTTCGCCCGTCATCTGAAGCCTTGGTGATTATTGTGCACGCCTGATGTAATATCGATATGATACTGCCCAGTCTTAACTAATTGGTATTATTTGGTAAAAGTTCTGCTGCAAAAGCTTACTGTGTGACTTGTTGTAGTTTACAAAGGGACATGCATGTAACGGAAAGATTATTTAGCAAAACATTGGTTGCTGTGTTATTTTGGGGAATCATTTGCCTCCCTGTACCTCTGCCCAGATGGTAATTAAACACAGGCCATCTGTCTTGTTAGTGTGAACCAGACCGGCAACACGAGTAGGGAGCATGCTCACAGGCCCAGGTCAATCTCTTGTATAAAGGAGACGCTTCAGGTGAAGTGAGTCTCGACTGGGGTCTCTGGTTTCGGCAGCGATGTGGGACAGTCTGGCCCTGCAGAGTAGGGATCTGTTTCCATGTACAGGAGGTTGATGGTTTAAATCCCTTGGCTGGCAGAGTGATTATATCACTGCTAGGGTTCTTCAGCGAAGCCTTTAAGCCCAAAAACTGGGAAAATGGCTGATTCTGTACTGTGACCCGAAGCTTAATTCTCACCTGTGTCTTTGTTGCATGGAGAGAAATAAGTGATGTGTAAAAACCGACAGCACAAAATGCTGATCACGAATAAGTGATGTGCAAAATGACATTACAAATGGTGATCATGAGTAAGTGATGTGCAAAATGACAGTACAAAATGTTGATCACGAATAAGTGATGTGCAAAAACTACAGTACAAACAGCTGATCGTGATTAGATTTAAAGGCTACTTCTCTGTCTCAAGCTTCCTTTCTCCTTCGCAGGTGATTGCGAAAGACAGAGAGCCGCTGCTCACTAAAGCCAACTGGGGGAAAATGGTCCAAAAGGTCTCCAAGTTCGGCATCCGAACTGGTACTTTCAACTGCTCCAGTGACCCCAGGTGAGACCTGTTTCTGATAAACACACTGAATGCAAATTTCACCACTTTTGTCTCCATACCGGAAATGATAATTAGAGAAAGTAAACAGCAGGTGCTCTCATACATGTTTATTCAAGGTTCACTTTTTATTGCTGAGATAATTCTCAAATGTCTCAAAGAATTAGAATTTTAAGCCAAAAAGATCAGTGTTAGCTTTGCAGATGAAAAGTTTAATAATTTAAAGAGAATTAGTATTGATTTATGCCGGTGCCCGAAATGACAAGAGGGGGCCTCGTCGGGAGCGAACTGACAGAGGAGTTAGAAAGTTCTTGAACTGTCCATTTGAAGGTGTTTTTTATGTTTAAGGCTACAGGTTTTCCACCAAAATAATCCTCTAGTTTTTTTTTCTAAGCCTGCTTTTAATCTCCAAAAAATAGAGGGTATGCTCATTAGGTAACACTTTACTCGAAGCAGTCTACATAAGGGTGACATGTAACCGTCATAAGAATGACATGACACATGTCATGCACATTAATGACACATTACTGATGTTTATGACTGTTGTCATAATGTGTCATGTCATTCTTATGACGGTTACATGTCACCCTTATGTAGACTGCTTCAAGTAAAGTGTTACTTTGTTTGTGGTTAACAGAAGTGAGCCTATTTTTTTTTTTATTTAGCTAGCTGGTTACTTTTGCCTCCACGGTGCAGTGGTCCTGCTAAGTGTATAGCTGTTCTGCTGTGGTTTGAGTACGTGTCACCGTCCTGCTTCTGGCAGCACGCTTGGGACAGGGAGTGACCTCGTGCTGCGGAGTGCAGGCAGTGTGTTCCTCAGGGGTCACACCTGCGTTCAAGTGACGTCGGTCTGCTTGTTGTTCCCCCGCAGGGCGGGATACTGAAGCTACAGCGGTCAGCTGGAGGGAATGAGTTTGCGCTATTTATAGAATTATCAGAAGTGGGTATGACGCCATTTATAGAAATGATGCGGAGGCCGTAAATGGCGGGATTAGCAGATGGGCTGTGTGACAGTAGGCCATGAATGTCGGAAGTGGTCTGAAAAAACCCAGGCTGACAAACCCTCTGTTTTCATAAATGCTATAGCTGGAAGGAGAAGCTTGTGAAGCGAATCCAGGAGGTGCTTCATCGTGATCTAAAGCGCGATTCAAAAACATCAGCATAAAATAGAGTTTGAAGAAAATGCATACAAATTCAGTGACTGGTACCCCAGTCAGCCTTAATGAATTGCTGATGTTTATCTGCAGGGTTTTCTTTTATGTTCTTGTTTTACTTACAAGATCTATTACTGTAACATTTGCTTGCTTGGGCGTTGGACTATTGGGCTTGGTGTGCAGTCTGCGAGCATCATCATTTGAAAGCTAAGCCGTCACCGGTATGCTTGATGAAGTGTCTCTTCTTTCCCAGGTATTGTCGTAAGCGGGGCTGGCTGAAATCCACTCTCATCATGTCTGTGCCGCAAACGAGCACGTCAAAGGGGAAGGTGATGCTGAAGCAGTACAACGGCAGCCGCATCGAAACTGAGCACATTTTCAAGTGGATGACGGCACTCGTGGCGTCCCGGATCAAAACCATCCGTGTACCCCAGCAGCTTCTGCAGGAATGGAACCGGAGCGACCAGCACCCAGTAAAGATGTTCCTGTTCGCCAAGCTGGTGCAGCCTCCCGCCTTCTTCTCAGCACTCAGCGTTAAGTTCACGGGTCGCATTGAGTTCATCTTTGTGGACGTGCAGGACTGGGACAGCAACCAGTGCATGGAAGATATCGGGGTGCGTCAGGTTCCTTCATATATCCTCAAGACCCCGGAAGGCACTTACAGGTATGGGAATAGTACGGGAGAGTACATCTCCCTCCATGCCATGGACACGTTCTTGCGCTCTGTTCAGCCGGAGGTCAATGACCTATTTGTGCTGAGCCTGGTTATGATCAACCTCATGGCCTGGATGGACCTGTTTATAACGCAAGGTGCCACCATCAAACGTTTTGTCGTCCTCATAAGCACCCTGGGAACCTACAACTCTCTGTTGATCATTTCCTGGTTGCCCATCCTGGGGTTCCTCCAGCTCCCATATCTGGACAGCTTCTACCAATACAGCCTGAAGCTCCTGCGATATGCAGACACCACCACCATCGCCTCTTGGGTGAGGGCAGACTGGACCTTCTACTCATCCCATCCTGCACTGTTCCTGAGCACCTACCTGGGGCACGGGCTCCTCGTTGATTACTTTGAGAAGAAGAAGCGTCGCAGCAGCAACAATGACGATGAGCTCAATGCCAACAATCTGGAGTGGTTGTCCAGTTTGTGGGACTGGTACACCAGCTACCTTATCCATCCCATTGCCTCCTTCCACAACTTCCCCAACGAGTCAGACTGGGACGATGACCCGGACCTGCTCCTGCAGAGATTGGCCTTCCCTGACCTCTGGCTTCGCCCACTTGTCCCCACTGACTACATCAAGAACCTCCCCACATGGAAGTTAGGGTCTGCAGGCAGGTTCAGTGGGAGACAGAGTTCGAAGGCGACTGGCGAAGAAGACCGAGGTGGCACCGCAAGTGGGGAGCTGCAGAACAAACCAGGGAACACACAGGAGGATCTGACAGATGGCGATCACCTCGGTACGGGAACCGGAGACGCATCTGGGAGTGCATGCGAGGGCCCCGGCTGCTGCAGCTTCAGGAGGGGAGGCAGGAGCCACTCGGTCTGCTCTGAAGCACCGGTTAGGGAGTCTGACTGGTCCTCCTGGCCCCCGGACATGATGCAGTGCACAGAGTGCGTCGTGTGCCTGGAGAACTTCGAGGACGGCTGCCTCCTCATGGGACTGCCCTGCAGCCACGTGTTCCACCAGCAGTGCATTGTAGTCTGGCTGGCGGGTGGCCGTCATTGTTGCCCTGTTTGCCGGTGGCCCTCCTTCAAGAAAAAGGCGGACAGGGAGGAGCATACAGTGCATGGGAGGGGACAGTACTAGCAGAGGGCGGAGCACATCGCTGGGGTGCGGGTTTGTGTGTGTGTGCGTGCGGGTGGGTGTGTGTGCGCGTGCGTGCGGGTTTGTGTGTGTGTGTGTGTGTGTGTGTGTGTGTGTGTGTGTGTGTGTGTGTGTTGGCTGGGTAACAGGTCCCCGTGCCTATCCTGTCTCTGATCTCAGTGTGTCAGTGTTAGTCCTTAGAACTTTAAGGGTTTATTTCCTTTTTGGGGCAGATCAGTTTAGAAAGCAGGTCTTTGGTGTGACACCATCATTGATTTCAGTCGCCTTATTCATTTAAAAACAAAAATGACACCTTTCGGAGTGTCGGAAAAACACGTAAATTTACACTAATGGGAACCAAATTTGTTCATTCATTCCTTCTTTGTGTTGAAAATTGCAAAATCGAGGCACAAAATGGAAAATACCAGTAAAATAAATCCTTAACCCTTAAGTACCTCTGAAAGCCTAAGGAAAATTATTTACGTAAAATTTTGAAAAGGCAGTAAAACAGTAGTGTATGGTACCTCCACATCTGGCCTAGTCTGTAGATCTGCTCATTGGAGCAGGCTGTCCTCCATAAACCTACACAGCCTGCAGTCTGTCATTCAGGCTGCAGACTGAAGCATCAATTAGTGTTCAACATAAATGTTTAATGTCATCTCTTGGCCTCCAAAGCAGGGCTGGACTCTTTAAGCTGAGCACTTTGAACATGCCACCCATTCCAGAAAAAGGCAGCTGACCCTGTAAATGGTAGCAGTTGGGCAACAGGTCTGTCTAAGGGCAAGGATGTAGAGAGCAGATCTGCCCCCGTATGTGACACTGGGAACCCTCTCGAACCACCTGACCTGGTGAAAGGAACCAAATCAACACACTACTTTGTGTCTGATCTTATTTATTTTTAAAAGTTTTTTTAAACCTAACTTGTGGTAAGGTGATCCAGACTCTGAGAAATGCTAACACTTAAATGCATTGGGTGACTCTTCCCAAAATAATAATATTCGTTTCTTTTTTCTGCCTGTTTTTGTGTCTCTAATGTATCCTGTTGCATCTCTAGGGGAGTTAAACGTAAGCTGCAAGTCAGGTAGAAGAGGACCAGTTCATTCATCATGTAGATAAAACGGGAAATGGAACCCAAACAAAATGGTTTTGTCAAACTCATTTCTGGCGAAGGGTGTCATTGTGCTGAACTGGTTAAGGACTAGCCGAACTTTATACCCCTCAGTGAAGTGGTTATACTGAACTGCTTTGAGTAAAAATATCAAGCAGTGCAGAAAAGTAAAAGACCTTAGGATCTGCAAGGTAACTTAATAATAAGGTCTCATCCCACTGCTAATTGAAGCCTGTGAACATGTGATTGTATTATGTTCTGCAATACCTATTCCTATTTATAACCGGATCAAAACATGAAGACATATTTATATTGTGGAAATTTGTTAGTGTTTACTAAATTTACCCAATAAAATAGAAAGTGGGTTTTTTTTTTTTTGAAGGAGACCTGCCAATTGGGAGCCAAATTAGAGAGTTATATATATATCTATGTGTATATACAATAAAACTTGATGCTGACCACTCAATAAAAAATGTAATTCTAAAATGTTTTGTGTGGATGTCTTATTAATTGTCATCTTTGATAACTAGCTAAAACGCTTAAAAACTAAACGTTTATATATGTTGTGGTGCTGTTTTTAAGGGGAACTTTTTTCTCCATTTTTTTATGGAGAGCTGAAAAACAGAAAACCGTTCTTGCATGCCAGGTCTTTTCTTAGGGATTTTAAGGTGGTGAATCAAATAAGCCAGGCCCCAGGCAATTTGGGGAGGGCACAAAATAAATATCCCAAGTGGCAGGGGTGTCCCCAATGACAAGATTTTAGAAACTGGTTGGGGGGGGTATTACGTATGGTCTGTACGAATGTGACTTGCCAGCCAATTTCACTGTCTTGGCCAGAGGATACCCTGCTGTCGCAATATTGGAGCAGGAGAACGGTGTAACCAAAAAGAAACATCTTAAATGGCAACAATAGGAAGAAGAAATGGTCAACGGTTCAATTATTTAAATTGTCATTGCAAACACAAACATGTTGCAAAACCAACAAAAAGAGTTTATAGTTTGTGTATTGAGTATAGAAATTAAATTCTAGTAACAATCTGTGGTCATACCATTTTCCAATCGGGGTATCAAAATTAACACAGTAATAGAGGTAAAGTGAACAAAGAAATAATAATGTGATATGACTTCAAAACATCTGTTTTATATATATTGTAGCACTGGGGATACCCATCAGGCAGAACGGAATGCTGGACCAGTGCCAGCCTTGTAAATAATGTAAATAGTCCTATGTAGTTAGTGTTTATTGTGCTGTGATTGTGTTGTACGGTAGTGTCATGTACTGCATTTAATGTTAAGTGTGTGTGTGTGTGTGTGTGTGAGAGCGGGTTTACCTATCCTTATGGGGACATAATGTCCCCATAATGTGATAAATATCCGTTTTTTTTCCCTTATGGGGACCGGTTTCCTGGTCCCCATAAGGAAAAACTCTATTTTATAAAAATCAGTGACTGCTATGAAAAAACTAAAAATGCAAAAAAAACTCTTGTATTTTGTTTGGTTACTTATGGTTATGGTTAGGGTAGGGTGGGGGTTAAGGTTGTCATAGTTAGCGTTAGCATTTTTCCCATTGAAATGAATGAGCGGTCCCCATAAGGATATGTTTACCCTACGTGTTTGTGTGTGTGTGTGTGTGTGTGTGTGTGTGTGTGTGTTGTTGGCTCGGTCAGCAGGATACAGTTCTAGTGATTGAAAATTCGGTTTTATTTATAGATTCGATTGAGGGGAATACATGCTGCTGCACTTTGTCCTAATACTTTTAGTGAAACTGCATGTTTATTAAAATCTTATTTTTATTAAAATATTCATCAACTCGAGTCTTGTTATTGTATAACAATCCCTTCAGGTCTAATTAAAATGAAAAACAATCACGTAAAGCAGGCTTTAGTGTTGAAAATATTAACAAACAGTCAGCTTCCAAAAGCCTGGTAAAATCTCGAGTACCTTAAGAAATTTGCAAACATAATGTCTAAAATTCTTTTACTAAAGGATAAAATCAACACCAAAGCCACAACATACGTACAACATACGCTTATCGGGGTAACTTGTTGGATTTAAGGTACCGCAGTTTAAATGGACTTCATATTCATTCACTTACATTTTTCCCAGACTACCTTAAATCCAACAAGTTTCCCCGATAAGCCAGTAACCCCGCTTCGTAGTACAGGCCACTGAACAGCATTTACAAATCAAGGTATTTTAACCCTTGGCTCTTTCACTTAGAGTCTACAATTCCTTCCCCACAAAATCACAAGGAATATTGACAAACAAGTGACTTTATCATGTCTGATGGCTGAACTCATGTTTTGAATGGTGAAATGTGGTTAATCACTCTGCTTTGCAGACAAGCACGTTGTATTTACCCCCGGTAGGGTCTTCCAAGGAAAACTGCGCCTAGGTTAGTGGCCAAACTAAGTGCGATTCCAAAAAACCCCATGAAAAATAATGTAGTACCTGGCCAAAAGTACCAAAAAGTCACCATTTCAATTTAAATCAGCAAAGGCAATGACTAGATCACGATTACAGCTCAACAACATTATACAGCAGTAAAGTGAAGTCAACTGAGTACCTGAATCCACTCAATGGCCAGGTTATCCCTGCATCCATCATGAATGGAGTTTTTCTTCCCTAATGGCACAGGCAAGAATGCCAAGGTTCATCAGGCTCTAATTGTGAAAGAGTGATTCAGGAGCATGAGGAGTCATTTTCACACATGACATGGCCACCACAGAGTCTTGACCGTAAACCCATTGAAAGTCTTTGGAATATGCTGAAGAAGACTTTACGGAGTGGGTCAACTACCGTCATCAGTACAAGATCTCGGTGAGAAATGAATGCAAATCTGGAGGAATATAAACGGACCGATTGTGGGCTACTAAAATTGGCTCTTGGCACATAGACTGTAACCTCTCTGGTGGGAAAGGAGCCTGAGCTGGTGCAGGAAGTAAAGAGATACTGGCTAGATATAGTTCTGCTCATCTCAACTCACTACTTGGGCTCTCCTGGAGAGAGGCTGGAGTCTTGCCCTTAGTGAGAGGCACCCGGTAGGTGTGGGTCTACTTATAGCCCCCTGCTTCAGTGCCAGCACGTTGGAGTTCACCCTGGTGAATGAGACGGTCACCTCCCTTCAACTTCAAGTCAGGGGACAGACTCTGACTGTTGTCTGTGCACATGTGTCAAGCACCAGTTCAAAGTATTCAGCATTGTTGGACGCCTGGGAAGGGGTGTTGGAGAGCGCTCCTTCTGGGAACTCCATGGTTCTGCTGGGGGACTTTAATGCTCACGTAGGTAATAACAGTGAAAGCTGGAAGGGTGTTATTGATTGGAATGGGCCTGTTCGATTGGAATCTGTGTGTGTGCGTATGATCTTTGAGATCGAGATCACTAATACAAGCGGCAGAAATGAGTTTCCCCTGCAGGATGTCTGGGCTCAGCCTTAGAGATAGGGTGAGGAGCTCGGACATTCGAGAGGGACTCAAAATAGAGCCACAGCTCCTCTGCATTGACAGGGGCCAGTTGAGGTGTTTTGGGCATATCCAACAAAGAGGTGAACACCATCTGAGTTGGAATGCTGGTTCAGTCCCTTGGAAGATTGATATAGTGTGTGGGTGCGACTTCTGAGCAGTAACACTGTGGGTGCAGCCTTCAATCTGAAACTCTGGCATGGAGAACTGACTCATTGATGGACTTTGGCTTTGACCTTGACCACAGTTTTGATTTTAGCTAGGAAACCCACTGGTTCTTTTTCTATAATGTTAGCAGGCTGTTGGGTAGCTAGTTGACCTTGGACCTCCAGAGGATTTTTTTGTCCCTACTTGGGGTTCATGGTTCCTCTCCTTTCTTTCTTTTTCTTTCCTTCTTTCTTTCTTTCTTTCTTTCTTTCTTTCTTTCGCTGAAAATTCTGCATTTGTCACAGGGTGTTCTACTTCTGCAACATGCAGTGAACAGTGAAATGTGTGTTCTGGCAGATTCATCGACTGTACAGATATCGAATACATTATAGTACATATAATTTATCTAAGAATACCAGACTGTAATAAACTATATACTAAATCTGAAAATTCCAAAAAAAAGTAAGACAAAAACAATAACATACAGCACAATGTGAGTGCTGTAGATGTGCAAAGCAGTGTGCAAAGTGCCAGAGAGGAGAGTGACAGAGAACCAACGTGAAAGTGTGCAGTAGCAGTAGCAGTATTAGTAATAATAATAATCAATGAGATTGTTCTCAGATGTGAATTATGAGATTATGAATAGTTCTCCAAGTCTGGTGTCACAGACCAGCCCAGAGGAACCCCAGTGATGTCACATAGACACTTTGTGTAACAACTCCCACGCCTCCCAGGGAATCCCAGTTTGTTAGAACCTCCCGATTAGGGAAACACCATCCTGTCTGCGTCCTAACTGGGGCCATGCCCCTTCCCAGCTGTGACCAAGAATTGCTCTTTCACTTTTCTACTTCTGTGAGTCTGGCACACCTGCCAGATGTGAGATATTCTTAGCTTTCCTAGAGTTTGGGCATTTCCTTGATGAATTCTTTGCTGTCTTTCTGCCGGCTCTTTTTTATCCTGTTTCCGTCCTGAGACTACGAGACCTGCTTAGCGCGTCCCCTGCCTACACGCATCGCCCGACCTTCTCCCGTCCTCCAACATCGCCTTCGCCTCCTGAATTTGGATTACTCTGGATTTGACCGGGACTGTTGTCTCTATGTATCTGTACTCCTAATAAACTGGCTTTGGAAACCTGATTCTGCACAAGTGTGCTTCCTGCCATGCATTCCCCTCACAGAAGAACTCGCCATCAAGGATGGACCCAGCAGATCAGGTTAGTGTCCAGCAGCTGGCAGAAGCTATGGAGAGCAGGATACTTTGCTGCAACGACACCAGACTGTGTGGCAGCAACCTCGTACCTGGAGGGAACTACAATGTTTTCTTGAGTTTGCAAATTGCTATTGACAGTTTTTCTGAGGGTATAGTTCAGTCGCAGCTCCCCTTATGGCATTCACCTCCACCAAGATCTGTTTTCAATAGACCGAGGCAGCTCAAGCAGCTTCTTCCAGCCTACGGGTGCTTTTACATCTGCTCCCATCCTGCAGTGGCTCGAGACAGTTCATTTTGGAGGTTGATGCCTCTGGACTGTCTTGTCCCAATGCTCCTTGCTTGACAATAAGTTATACCCCTGTGCCTTTGTCTCACAGACACTAATCCCCATGGAAAAGAGTTATGATATAGAAAATTGATCCTGACTGACCACAAGAACCTGGAATACTGGGTTCAGTGCTTCCCAGGCAAGATGGTCTCTCTTTTTACCTGTTTTAATGATCAAAGCCCCTACAGGCCTGGGCCTGAGAACTGTAAACCTGATGACCTATCACACCAGTTCGGGGAAGATGGAGGTAAGCAGGACTCCAGCCCCATCTTGCAGGTTGCTTGTTTCATTGGAGTGGTCTTATGGGGAATAGATAACGCTGTCAAGGGCGGTCCAACATTTTGTTAACCACCAGTCAGCTTTTCGCTCCTGATTTTTTGCACCCACAGACCTTCCAGTGGGCCCACTCATCTCTTGGCCTGCTAGCCTGGTGTCCATCACTTCTGGCACTTGCTTAGGCTACAGTTTAGGTGGCTCACCATGCTTTGAAATAGCCATAGTTTTGTAGCCTTGTGCACCACCTGTGCTCAGAACAAGACCCTGTCTCAAGCCCCAGTAGGTGTTTTACAACCCTTTCCATTCCTCATTGTCCCTGGTCCCATGTGGCCTTCCTCCTTCCTGTGGGTTCATTGATGTTCTTTCAATAGTGGACTGCTTTTCGAAGGCTGCTCATTTTGTTTTAAACTGCCCTCCACAATGGAGACTGTGCAGCTGCTCATTGAACACATATTTAAGCTCCATGGTCTACTTATTGATGTTGTCTCGGACAGGGGTCCATTTCCCATTTTTGCCAAGAATCCTGCATTTTGATTGGCGCCACAGCCAGTCTTTCATAAGATTTCTACCCCTAGTCCTATGGACAAACTGAAAAGGTGACATCAGCCATTACCACACATTGCACATGATGCGCTTCTGCACATTATTTAACTGTACAGTTATTGCACAACTGCATACACTCTTGTACATACATATATTCGTCAAATGTTTTATGTGTTATATATTTATACTTATATTTTGATTGTTAATTCATGTTGCACTATGACTGCTTCAAGAGGCTTTGCATACAAGCATCTCACTCTCATGTATAGTACCTGTGTACTGCTGACAAATGACATGACGATAAAAGGTGATTTGATTTGAAAGGTCAGCCAGGATCTGGAGAGGATGTTACATTGCCTGGCCTTTCACTCACCTAGTACCTGAAGTACCTACCTCCCCTGGGCAGAATACTCTCACAATTCACTGCCTGTGTTGTCCACGTGTCTATCTCCTTTGCAGTGTTGCTTCGGCTGTCAGCCTCTATTGTTCCTGCCCCCGGAGGAGAAGGTTATTGTTCCATCGGTTCACCAGTTCCTATGCCACTACCAGCAAATGTGGAGGTTGGCCAGAGCATCCCTGTTGTATACTAACCGCCACTTGCAGGAGGGTCAGAGGGTCTAGTTGAGTACTAAGGACCACCCTCTGTGCTTCCTGTCACATACGTTGATGTCCTGTTTCGTGGAGCTTTTCTCCATTACCAAAATTATTAGCCCCACTGCAGTATATCTTCAGCTACTGATGACCATGCAGCAAATCCATCCAATGTTCCATGTGTCTCTCCTTCTCTCCTCAAGTCCCATGCGGTCAGTCTCCTGTCCTCCCCTGCGCTGCCTCCTCTTTCGCCAAGGCTAATTGATGGAGTTGAGGCAAATATGGTCCATCCTTTATTGGATGTCCATTGCAGGGGTTGTGGGCTGGTTTTTGGAGGATTGGGAGGGGTACAGCCCGGAAGAATGGTCCTGGGTGCCAGTGAAACACGTCCTGGACCCCTCTGTCATTGCTGATTTTCGCCGTGACCATCCCAGGGTTCTGTAGGGGGGGCTACTGTCATGGACCAGCCCAGGGGAACCCCAGTGACATCATGTGGACACTCGGCATAACTATGACCATGCCTTCTACGGAATCCCGGTATGCAAGAATCGCCCGATCAGGGAAGCCCCATCCTGTCTGTGTCTTGACTCACTAGTAGATCTTGTTTGGGGCCCTTTCCAGGTGGGACCAAAAATCGCTAATTGACTTTTTCTTACTTCTGCTGACACAAGATCTTCTTGGTTTTCCTCGAGTTTGTGTGTTTCCCTGGTGAATTCTGTCCTGTCTGTCTGTCTGATTTTCCTGATCCTCTTTCTGCCCTCAGACTATGTGACCCCCCTAGCCCGCTCACTGCTCACACATATCACCAGATCTTCACCTCCTGATTTGGATTCTGTTTTGGATTCTGATTTGGATCCTGATTTGGATTCAGTTCTGGATTACTCTGGCATTGACCTGCACTGTTGACTGAGTTTGTGTTGCTCCTAATAAACCCGCTTTGGAAACTTGATTCCGCAAAAGTGTCCTTCCTACCATAAATTCCCCTCACAGCCTGGTCCATTAAGGTCTTTGGGTGTATTTTGTTCAATCTCAGCTCCTAAATATGGCATCAAAGTAATAAGGACTTGAGTTTTCTAAAACCTGCAGCGGAATGGGTACTGCATTGTTCTCATTTGAATCAATTGTGCTGCACTGAAATACAGCTGGCAAGCACAGCTGTCAAGTCTCCTGTTTTGGCCGGGAAACTACCGTATTTTACCCCTCTTTTCCGCCTTCCTCTCGTATTAGTATTTTCCCGTAAATCTCCCGTATTATAATATCATTAAAAAAAAATTCCTCTGCCTCTCCAAACTGAACTGTCAGTAGCCTCGCGAGAACTGCCACCTGCAGTAGTCTGCAGGTCATTTACAACATTAACCAGGTCATAAATGCGGAGGTTAAAATGGCAATGCTGTGTGCTAAAAACAACGTTACTTTCACCTTCTGTGACGACTTCAACAAGGATACAAAGTCTGCAACAAATCTGTATAAGTCATTAGTGAATGCCAGAGAGCCACATGAGTGAACATGAGAAATTACAAGAAAATGTGTAATGAAAATAAAATGTAAATGACAAGTGGTTATTGTAGATTTCTTGTACACCTGTCTTAAAATGTAAGGGATACTGGAGCTTGGTTGGGGTGGTGGGATGGCTCGCGGTGGGTGCCGGAAAATTTCCCTTATTTTCAAATCCAAAACTTGATAGGTATGCTGGCAAGGTTTCAGATGAATTTCAGTTATGGACTCAAGGTTTTCTTTTTCTTTATGGCTAAATTAAATTACATGTGCAGAAACTACAGTCCTACGACGTGAGTGCTGGAACACCAATTAAAAATAATTTAGATAACCACATTTTAAATTTATTAAATACATCAAATCTATTTTACGATTTAATTAAATCAGAAATAACAGAATTGTCTCTTTTTAGTTTTGTTTATTTCGCCATTTTTGTTTATTTATTTTTTGTGTTCTTTATCCGAAATATTATGTATGTGCCCCTACAAAGGATTATCATATATGTGTGTTTTATGAACCATACATCCGACACGATTTTTGTCCGGCCTCACTAGTGGCCACCAGCGGCAACACTGAGAGCCCGACGCCTGCGCTGAAGCGCCTGTCAAATGGCAGGAGAGAGATCCGCTCGCGCGGCCGTTCGTACATAAATGCATAGGAAACTCCTCTTTGCTCAACATACGCACACTGCCATCTAATCGCGATGGTCTCATGGATTATCTCTAGACTTGTTGTGTAAGTAACATGCTCATCTTTTTCCCCATCACTTGCATTAAAAGCTAAGAGGCAGTTGAAGTGCAGGCGCGGCTTTGGCGTTAATGGATTAGGGCTGACTTGCTTTGACACATGCAGATGTTCATATGTCAGATGCCTGCTACAGGGTAAAGCAGGGTTTTCGACGTTGCGTATTAAAGCAAACGAGCAAGCTTTCTGCATATTTCATCTCTGCATAATACCGAGGGATAAATAGCCTAATTATAATTTCCGTCGGCTTGACTGTTATACTGGGGATTTTGAGATGTATTGTGGTTTATACTGATCAATTTCCCTATGATGCCCGGAGAAGCTGGGTTGTAGGCTTTCTGTCGCCCTTGTTTCCAATTGGGAGCCTTTTGTTTGGTTTCCGAGATTTGTTGCTGTGTCTTTGTCGTGATTTCTGGCAACATCCAAGCTTCTTCAGAAACAAATATCTGCATGCGGTGTAACGCATAAACGAATGTATATAAAACGAATGCGTGTATTATTAGCTTTGAATAATAAATAAATCGTAACATGATTCCTAATAATGACGATATAGGCGCTGTCCTTGCAGACACGAAGAGCTGACGTACTGTCTCTTTCATGCTCGCCGCCTACCGCCAGGACTCTCGATTTATTGTGCTTATAATATGAAATGCATATAAGGAGTCCTATTGACATTGTCAGCGTATGGGTTTTATAACGCACTCATTTTGTTTGTTATGTACAAGAAGACCTTACATGCCAAAACAATACCATAATTGCCGTTTAGATAGTAATATGTGTTTTTCTGAATTTATAAAGCTTTAGCTTAACGAAGCGATCACTGAAAAGAAGGTTCTAAATGTTTATCTTCTGTTCTGAGAACAATTGCGAAACCGTATCATCTCTCCTGCATTTATGTGAGATATCAGTTAATCTAGTTTTTCTACCAGAATGGAAACCTTAAAATATCATTTATGACATTGTAGACGATTCTTCTTTTTGAACTATATCACCAAAGTTGGTTTTCTCATTAAGCTATCCAGTATGAATAAGATGCTATATTCCATTAAGGGGATTATAGCGATACCCCAATGTTGATGTCTTACTGGCATCTTAGCATTGAGGATTGTTGTTCCCATTAAGGCCTATATCGAGGGCATACAGTAGCTGTCATGAAGTATCAGACAGGCCGCTTTCTCTGGAGCCATATGGCTCTTCGATCAAGAGTCGGAATACCGTGCCGTTTATAGAACAAGGGCCCAAAGGTAAAACCGGAAAGACGTCTCCTGCATCTAAATCTCCATTCAAGTGCTTGAAAAATAAATAAATAACATCGGAATAAAAGAATCTGATGAGTCATGCATAGTTAACCAATTGAGAATGATTTTGAAGATATTCCTGTTTCATGCGCATGCAGTTTAAGTATATAATGTAAATATATGCTTCTTAAGTACATTGAAAATAACTGAAGATTGTGATGTTAAACCGTTTACTAACAAGCAGGATATCGTTTAATCATTAGTAATAAGAAATATTTATTTCCATACTCCTGGTCATGATACAAGTCACTGAAATACTTGTATTACCTCAAACATATTTGCATAGTGCATACAGAGCTTCTCATCCTATTGTGTTGATTATGGAGGACATGGGGGACTGTTTCTTAACAGCATTACTCAGTTCTCATCTCTCCGTCAAGATGTCTGACATCTTAGATTAAGCTTAACAGCACATCTGATATTTTATTAATTTGTGATTAATGCATTTTATTAAAATGTACACAAAATGATTCATTTTAGCCTTGTTTATTTATTTGATGCAGTTGTAGAATGAATAAATATTACTTCTAAACATTATTTGTTGTTAAAATATGGTTAGTTATTGCATGTTATTACGCTAGTATTTTTTTGTATATGACAATAAACATTGAAATAAATATTCAGGGAACAATGTAACCTGTACCCATATTCTACAGAGTGACACTTCTGGGTAAGAACCTTAAACATGGAGTCATTTATGCCAGTTTACAGTTTACTCCGGAGGCAGCTGTGATCTGTTTCTCTCCTTATTTTTTCACACATACATGCTTTGACCAGATAAAACAAAGGACCAATCAGAGGTGTCCCAAGGCCTTATATGTACAGAGCAGCCCTCAGCCAGCTGGGAATGAGCCAGTTGCATTGTCTCTTTCTATGCTGCTGCATTCCAGCTAACATGGCTGCCATCCATATTCATTTCTTTTTAAAACTGCAACATTCTTTCATGAAACTGATCAAGCCCATAGTTGATTGTCACATGTGTGTCTGTTCCTATCCTATAATTTAGGGTTTTTCTCTCCTTTTTGTGAGTCCCATGGAAGACCCGAAGTCCTGTGTAAACACTACTGCATCCCTGTCCATGAATTTATGTGAAACTACCATCATTCATACCTTTCAGAAAATGTTTTTGTAATTAATCCAAATAAATTATAAATTGTAACAAGTCCTAAAGTATTTCTTACCGCTTGTCATATTCTAAAGCAGAATACAGGGAGCTGTATGTAAATCTGTGGTCTGATTCTGCTGGTTTAAATCTTGGGTCAGCAGATGCCCAGTGGATCAATTTAACATCATTTAGCCGATTCGAATCGCTTGACGAAGCGAATCCATGGGCGGAGCATGAAGAAGCTCGGCAGGTGTAAGCTGACCTGCTTCCCTTTCAAGCTCCATTTCCTCTATGTAGCACTGATGTTAGCGTGCATTTCTGCGTCTGACCGTACAGAGCAGTCTTTCTTAAATCAGGCCTCGGGGACCCAGCTCCAAAAATGTGGATTGTCTGGCAGGGAGCTGGGAGGGAGCAAAAACATGGACCGTCTCGGGGTCCCTGAGGATTGGGGTGAGAAACACTGATTTAGGGGAACGTTCAGGGTCAAAGCAGCAGGATAGCGTACTTAAACCTTTGATATAGCCTGATATTAGCTTGGAAAACTTCATACTCTCGAGCCAGATATGAATTAGTTTGTGTGCTGCCTTGGTAACCCTCCTTTGAGGCTGTGTTAGCTGCGGGAGGCACAGGGACCCAGAGGGCGGAGGCCCGCTTTGGGGGCCCCACCCTACTCAGCGCTCCACAGCGACACTGACCAGGCGTCTACGTGGCTCTGAGTGTGTCGCTTGGTGACACCCGCAGCCTGTAGACTGAAGGGGGGCAGGTGGATGACAGCTGACCCACTGGGGGGGGGGGTGTGTACTAGTCCTCACCCCTCCCAAGCTGCCTTGTGTCATATGTTTATGAGGGGAGACTTCAGATGAAGTAACTGGCCTTGGCAGATTGGGAAATAGCATATCATAAAGTTGGGCCTGGAACCTATAACATATCATAAAGCAGGGCCTGGAACCTATAGCCCTATGACCCACGCTGTTAAATCGGGACTTATTATGGGGTACAATGTGGTGAATAATGAGCAGAAATGTTAGCCCTGGTTTTGGGTTACCAGGCTGTAGGGAAACTGAAATTAGTGTAAACTGCAAAAAGCTATTTCCTGCTTTGTTTTCTTATCCTAGTTCTGTAGGAAGTTCAAAAGGGTAGCAATGCATCATGATCTCATGCATTCTCTGCTGGAATTCAGGGCTACAGGAGCCATACTTAGGTAATCTATAAGCACTGTGTTTGTCAGAATCTGTATCTGTCTGTCTGTCTGTCTGTCCCTAAAAATTGTCAGGCTTCCTCCAGATGTTCCTCTCCCTTCCCTAGACGGCTAAGCGTCTTTAGGATCTCTGTTCCTTTCGGTTACCAAAATACCCTTGTACCACACACTACACAGGTCACCATTAGGGATGCCACATAGGTTGTGCACTGGAGCAGTCAAAGCACTAAAGCAACAGGGACTCATAGGGTGAAATCCCAGGACATACAAATGTTGTTGGGCCCAAGGAATTTACATCAAAGTAACCAGCGCTAGTCAAAATGTAGGTTTTTTTTTTTTTTTAAACCAGCCAAGAAATGAATTGTGTAGGTGAAGATTGTGATGGAATGCACTTCCCACCTAGCCACAGATGACATTAGCATCCAGAAGCGTCTTACATTGCACGGATCCTGTGACATTTGCTCCTTGGGCACCGGGTAATCAGTGAGTAATACGATATTCGATGAAGTCGTACCTTAACCTGGAACAGTTTACTGCTTTATCCTCTCTGTTGGCACACAGACACATTTAAAAATAACTCATGTGGGGGTTAGAGTGCAGCAGCTGAAGCTGGTCCATTACAGTCCGCATGGAGATTCACGTGAGCTTCAGCAAAGTAACGCAAATGGTCCCCGCACCACACACACAGGGCGGGCCAAGCTTTCCGCTTCTCTCCTGCGATGTAAGATCCCCCAAGCAGAAAAATCTAATGCATATGTAAGTAAACAATGCAATGCAGCATAGGCAATGGATGCCCCATGTTCTTGGATGAAGGTTTATGAGACGGGTGGGTTATGTTTGTCAGCAAGTCAAATGTGGGAAAAGTCTCGAAGACTTTTGCTACAAAACCTGAACAAAAAATGGACCTTTAAAACACGCATACTTAAGTATCCTACAGTAGGCAATAAATCAATAATTAGTCTCTGCTGAGGGGGATTCTGCCTGTTCAGCTTTGTTCAATTTAGCTGGTCTATTATAAGGGCCAGTAAGGGAGCTCAGTTTGATAAAAGCCAGCAGAGTGTCTGTAATGGGAAACACAGGAAGCTGTAAGCGATGAAATGTCATGATTCTTACCACCTTACATCGTCCACATCTGCATTTTAGGGCAATGTGTAGTTTTTTGCTCGTGTCCAGTTGGGCATGGGTTCAAATCCTGTGGTCAGCAGAGTAATCATATTGCTGTTGGACCCCTGAACGAGGCCCTCGATCCTCTGCTGCTGTGGGGGCCCCGGGGGGCCTTGTGCTCTGACGCCAAACATTCCTCACTATGTTGCATTGGGCAGCAGGTTTATTCTCGGTAAAATCTCTTTTTGTGACAGTTCTCAGTACTGACTTTATTATAGCTTGAAGATCAAAGAAGAGAAATGTCACAAACCTAACTTCAGTATCAATCCGTCTTCTACACGGTTATCCCGATCGGGGTCTCAGGAGTTTAATATCCAAATCCGATTTACACATCAGAATATCAGTTACACACTTGCTTTAGCTGCCATGTGAGAAATCCAGCAGCGAAAATCGGCTTTAATGTGCTGCGGTGTCAGAGCGACAGTCAGCAGCCACAGATATGTCAGGCATCCCCAAAATAGCTAATCTTACAGGTCAGAGTAACTAAGTCTGATCTTCAGTACTCTCACTGTTATTTACTGTCTGGTGACATGTGTTTGTTCAGCGTAACCCAGACAGAGTTAGGGGGACCTTCACTACTGTCGTCTACTGTAGACAACATAAGGTGCAGTTCAGGCCCACAAAAGGCACATCAGGATGTCTTTTTGGTCTGTGGATGGTGCTGGACCAGAAAGCCATTAGCTTCTGCAGCACTGCTACAGCGTGTTGAGCCTGTAGTGTGGGTTTGTTCCCAGGGTCTGGGTTACAGGCTAGGTACACAGACTGGAGCCTGGTATCATTTACGGCTGTGGATCTGCAATATAAGCTGTATCGATGACACGCTGCACAGCAGTATAACCCAGCGCAGATGCTTACAAGTCGTATAAACCATTCACACATCCATCCGTCTTCAGAGCACTTATGCCGATCTGGGTCCCAGGGGGGCCTGGAGCCTATCCCAGGCAGGGCAGTAAGGGCACAAGCTAGGATCACGTCCCAGACGAGATACCAGTTTGTATAAATCAATATCATGAAATGAGAACAAAGACAAACTGGTTCATTTATTAAGTATAATTTAGAACCTATATCGTCAAATGGAAAATGAGGAAATTAGCGTTAATATCAGGGTTTAACACTGTGTCGTGCACTATAGTAAGCCTAGTTGAAAAACTGGGTAAGTTACTAGCTGAACCAATAGTGCCTAAGTGTAGAATTTCATTTTGTTACATGTACAGTCAGTGCGCCTGTGCCGAGTTTGGCTAGAAGGGCATCCTTGTTGACAGTCTGCTTATTACTGCATTCAAGGTTTGTGTTTTTGCAAAGGCATCCCACTGTGACCAGGGACTGGAAGCTGCACTGTGACCTATCCCAGGTCACCATTATAGCAGAAAACACAACTAAACAGGGTCCAAATCTGTGGATCTTCAGTGCTGGCGAGAGCCATGACCTTTCTGGTACTCTGATTCCTTACATTAGCATATATTTATTTTGATGACATTTTCAGCTTAAAGGTATTACTGAGAGCTTGTCAATTGTACCAAACAGGAAGTTAGTGTAGAAGAAAAACATGCTTGATTAGTTGACCTAAACACCATCTTTTAGAGAAGGGCAGGTAACTTCCTGGTATTCATTCATCATCAAGATCCCAGTGTGCTTGTTTGGAGCGAGATAGGTAAGAATTGGATGTGCAGGAAGTGAGAGGAGATATGTAGGAAGTGAGATTTTCAGTCACGGGAAGTGAGGAGCAATGTGCAGCTTGTGCAGGCGACTGAGAGTCACGTAATGGCTGGAACTGCTGATATCAGGTGTAAGCAGATGTTCAATTCAGACTGTAACTGCCCAGATGTGTCCTTGGACTTCAAAGTTTCCCCTAACTTTTTTGTTTTGTTTTTATTGAAGGGTTATGTAGTACCTGATTCGTCAGCAACAACTACTGTCCAATAAAAACATTACAACAAGTGAGACATCCTCTGCTCACAAGGTCAATAGGAAAATCTAATGTGGACCTGCAGACAGCACCGCGATATTAAGATTGTCGGGTGTGATTTGCTTTGGGGCTCATAAGATGGTGAGTTTATCTAACAATTATATTCTCCTCTAGAAAGCCTTTTTCTGTCTCTTCCCATCATTTATCATTGTATGAAGACATACTTTTTATTTGACTCAAATTCAGTTGCACAGAAAACTCAGTCAGTCAGAAGACTGGCAAAAATACTGTAAGATGGTATGACTTGCTTCAAAATCAAGTCAAGTTGTGAGACGATTGACATCAGTTTGAATTTCATTCTTAAACGAGGTAGTTTACATCCAAAACATCACTAAATTGAAGAATAGAATAGAATAGAATAGAATTGTGATACTTTATTTATGCCTGTGGGGAAATTTCTTTTCACATATCCCATCATGCTCAGCAGGAGACACAGACACATATACAGGTAAGAGCAAGTTTGGGGTCACATTGCAGTGTTAGCCAGTGTGCAGTGGTCCTGCAGTATTTGAAGGATAAGAAGTAGCATGTCAAACTTTGCAGGTTTCTTGAATGGTTATTACAGAATGAAAGTGAATGCTAGGTTTTTATGAAGAATTTGCAATACACATATTACTTAAGAAAGACAACTGTCTCTCAAAGTTGTTGTAAACCTCTTTTTAACAGACGTTTCTCACAGATGTAGTCCATTGTTTTGTAAGATAAATTATTAGACAAGTATCAAAGGTGCAAACAGAGAGAGTGAGCGAGTGAGTGAGAGTTGACGAGAATTCCAGGCACTCTTTTCTCTCTCTGGTGATGCAATGTCTGTGTAAAGTCACATGACCAAACAAGTGAAATGTATATTTGCCTGTATTCTATTTTTTTACATGTACAATTATTTTCATCTTACTTTAAAGATATTAGGTATTATAGGAGTTTTCATTTTTTCAATAAATGTTTCTCTTTGATAAATGTTTGAAATTTTTTGGCCTGGACAAGCGTATTCGGAGAAATTAAACTAATTAAAGGAAAAACTATCATGTCTATTTGTAAATACCTCATAAGCATTAGATAAGCCTAAGTGCATTATTTGCTCTTTTACGACTCCCTCATTATGTAAATGACACATTGTGATGAGATGACTGGTTTAAAAGCTGAAAACCCTTAGTCAGTAAGCGAGCCCTAGCTCATGCCATATAATTCGGCTATTCTTATTTCCCACAGCGCTGGCATTCCTCCTTGCTCAGCACACACACATACGGCCACGTTTAGAAACAGATGAGACCCTTTCCTTTGTCTCTGCTGACAAGCGCTGTGTTGTCCCGTGAGCTCGACCAAATGTAACCTTGCGAGAGTGCGTACAATTCCGCGTGTCAGCGAGGTTCCTGCTGTGCGTACGTCCAGAATAAAGACGGGCAGATACGGCGTCCGTGTCTCAAGTAAGGCGAGACGGGGTGGGACAGCACCCCCATCCTGCGCTCAGCAAATTCTGAGGAGCCAGAATAATCCCTCTCGCTGCGTGTAGGAGGTCGGGCAAATGCTGGTGCTAATTTTAAATCCGTATCTAACACCTGTTGTTTCTAATAGCCCTAGGAACCAATGTCTAGCACCCGCTTGACCCGGTAGCCCAGTTTCTGGGGCTGACGGTCAGGCGGAGCCAGAGCGATTGGCGGCTTTGTCGGAAGCCACCTCCAATATGGCGGTTTTAAATCCCGCCCAAAATTATGCTAGTTGTAAGTTGCCCATAGAGAATGACTGTATTCGCTAAGCTTTGTACCCTGTGTAACCTGTGACAGGCTCCCTGGCCCTTACCAGGATAAGCGGTTGGGATTGGATAGTAATACCAGCGACAGTTACTAAAAAAATGCATTTCGGTGTTTTAGAATTTTATACAGATTTTGATGTTATTTGGGGCCTCCAGTTTCACAGCTGATCATTGTGAATTTTTCATATTACTAATTAGAAAGCAGGCAATGATAAAAGACCACATTAAAACCTTTGTTTTTTACCAGTGTGAACTGAAACCATTTGGTTGGATCAAACGGTGTCCTCCAGTCACTGTTAATAAAATGGAAAAGTTCCCTCTTTTTTATAGTAATAGCACGTTTTCCAAACGGCCATTGTTTTCGAAGTCACATGACTTTGACTTCTGTGTATGTGTGATGAGAGTGACCTTTCCTTCCTCTCCTGTCAGGCTTATTTTTGGCACGCTGTACCCGGCCTATTCCTCATACAAAGCCGTCAAGTCGAAAGACGTGAAGGAGTATGTGAGTATCACGCGTGTCCCTATCAGAAAAGGCCCTGGACTTTTCACCTGTTCAGAGCTGTAAAATAATGCTTACAATCTTCCACCCGCAGGTAAAATGGATGATGTACTGGATCATATTTGCTCTTTTCACCACAGCAGAAACAATCACAGACATTTTTCTTTGCTGGTGAGCATTGAAATCACGTTCCCAAACGTGAATATTATCCTTCTCACTTCCTATATGTCCTTAGTTAACTTGTTTAAAGTTTAAACTTATTCATAGTCCCAACAACTGAGCTGATAAATACAAATAAAATTAAAGAATCTCAATTATAATTATGTTGAGGCTTGACAATTACAAACATTAGGCAGTTGCATATTTAAGAGATATCTGCCCAGAAGCTACATTAAATGACATGTTGATAAGGTTATGATTTATGGATGTGCACGTATTGTGACATGATGGCCTGTTGAGAAGCTGCCGTGCACCAATGGGGGGCGATCAGCACCATGCGGAGCGGTGGTAACCATGGTTTCCTCACAGTCAGCCTCAAGAGGAGCCAGTGGGGTATGGCTGGTAACTGATTGACCCAATCAGAGGGTTAGACAATCTTCCCTTAAAGGGAAGGTGCTTTGAGGATGACTGTCCTGAAGGGATTGATGCCTCTTATTGGCTCTGGAACACTAGATGAACACTGCTCTCCATGGGCTGTCACCTGGTTACACCTCCCCCTGCTCTGTTCCCTGAATGAATCTGCCCCACTCAAGGGCTCTTGTCTCTTTACCATAAAACCTGTATATAAGCGCACACACATTTCTTTCTCTTCCCTTATGGTGGCAGTAGGGTATGTTAATCGTCCTCTCCGTTTGATAACAGGCTTCCATTTTACTACGAGCTGAAGATCGCCTTTGTGGTGTGGCTACTATCCCCGTACACTAAAGGCTCCAGTGTGCTCTACAGGAAGTTCGTTCACCCGACCCTGTCCTCCAAGGAAAAGGTACAACCCCTGTTCACTGTGTCTGTGGGTGATTAATAATGGAACGAAGACCTATTTTCACATACTCACAGTTACTTTAAATATAATTACTTTTTCCCTCCTCCTGAGGTTTTAGTGTTAAATCATACAGTTTCAGCTGATGTGTTTCAAACATCATGATTGACTCAAAGGGCTTTTGGCTTTTTAATTTTTCATCTTTTGTTCTTAAGGCTTCCGCTAGTGGGGCCCTGCATTGAATAAGTGACTGGGAATATGGATATCAATGATGCAACATTTAGTGTACTAAAACAGCACCCTACCTTCAGCTACTGAATTCATTTTTACAGAGGATTTTGCATCATTTAATGTGAAGAGTCTAAGCTGAGGTTTTTCATATCTAATAAGCAGAGGTGGAAAGTTCAGATCCAGAAAGCATAAATCCAGACCAGGGTTTTGTTCCAACCAACCAGCTGAGTACTTTGTGACTGTGACTTTTTATACTCAACTACTTGGTTGAAACAAAACCATGGTCTGGATTTGTGCTTTCTGGATCTGAACTTTCCACTTTTTCTAATAAGCACTATGAGAGTGAGGTCCTTACTATCTTCCAGGAAGCAGTGCCCCTGGCATTCACTCTGTGTCAGTGTCAGTGTTGGCCAGTGGGAGATTGATTCACGTTCTTGTGTCTGGTGTACATGATACGGGCTGGTATAAGGAGCAGTGTATAGCTCAGGGCGATGGCATCTGTGCTCATGTCTGGAAGTTTTGAATGCTGCGGCTGGCACAGTAGTCGTATAACTGCTGGGCTAGTAACCCCAAGTGCTAGAGAGGCACTCGATGCTCAATCCCCCCCCGCTCACTGACCCCAGAAGTGTCTGATAAATAAGTAAATCGTCAGAAAGCATCCGAGTGCCACCTCAGGAACGCCATTTTTACTCCAAAGACAAGTGCCCATTTATGTGCCCATAGAGTGAATTCCTGAGAGCTTAGTAATTATTATCCTGTACTTGAACTTGAGACTTTGAGTATGTTTCCCATCATTTCCTGCTGTTTAGGAAGGAGTGTGTTAGCTGCTGATGCAGACACTTGTAAATTCATCCCTAACGTTTCACATGTGCGTTCGTGGTTTTTAGGATATCGACGACTATCTCTGCCAAGCGAAGGACAAGAGCTACGATGCCCTGGTGCATTTTGGGAGAAAGGGGCTCAACGTCGCTGCCACGGCTGCAGTGACGGCCGCCGCCAAGGTATCTATCTCGCACGCCGCCAGTGACAAAAGCTTAGGATACGTGCGAGTTTGTGGGTGGCATTCAGTGACCATTTTGTGAAAGTTAAAGCAATGAATTCATTGTTAAACAAGTTTCAAATTTATAGGTCGGGGGAGAAAAATAAAATTATATATATATATATATATATATATATCAATATATATTCAATCAATCCTCTTCATCCCTTGTGGGACATAAGGCTTCGATGAGCTCTCTCCATCGCATGTCGTTATCAATATATATTAAATATATTATATCAATGCAAGTTAACCTGAAGACAGGACACTGAAAGCTATGTTTAACACTGGCAGTGGTGCAGCAGATGGTTGATGTGCTGTGTTGGCTCCACATTGGTGTGTTGCTGGGTAAGGCTGTGGCCTCACATCTCTACAATGGGACACTTGATAGCCACCCTGTGCCTTTGGGCTTCTCTGAGTGTTCCTTTGCCCTGTGATGGACTGGCATCCCAGCCACAGTGACTCCTGCTTTGTGCCCTGTCCTCCTCGGCATACGCTTCAGTCTCAAAGGGATCCTACACTGGAAGATGAATGGACTTATACATCAATAGCAGCCTTCCCAGAATGGGCATCGAATTAGGTGATTAATCAGGTTCCATCAGCTGAATCGCCAAATGCCCCAAGATCATAGGAGAACATTTCAGTGGGTGTGAGTACAAGGCTTTACTGTGTCAGTTGTTCATTTTGTAAAAAGCAGTCATTCCCTCTAGAACCAGGCTCTTTTGTTCCTACACACAATGACCACAGGGATGCATTTTTATAAAGTAAACATTTCAGAACTTGAGTAATCAGAGTGGACTCCAGTGGTTGCTCGCAGTATTTGATTAGTAAAATTAGAAGGTGAAAGGTACTCACGAATAACTGTTTTGAAGGGATTTCTAGGAATTTCTATTTGTAAATTCATCTTCTGCTGTTATGCTCCTGTCTGACTGTAACTAAGCTCTTTAAAAACCTGCCCAGGCATCACACCAGTTTTCAACACTGTTCATTTTTTGAAACTGACCCATGGCTGCCTCCATCCCTACTGTCCATCCAAGAGGATTTTCTTGGTCTTGCTGACTCATCGGCGTTCTTTTGTTGACTCAGTGGCCCCTGAGTGTTTACACAGTGGCCTGATTTTGAAGGAGAGCTGATCTCGGCACCGTCTGGGTGGGCCTACACCTTTCCCTTCCTGACTGAATGCGCTGTTCCCGGAAGGGCAAACCGCTAGAGACAGAGGAAGGACTTGACAGCTGGTTATGTCATTGATTAAGCCTGTAAAGGCTGCAGTACCGTCTCCTAACGCCCTTCCTCTGTCCCCATAAAGGGCTTTGTTAGCTTTAAAGCGTCTGTCTCTGCTTGGTTGAATGCAGGCCCTTCCAAGCCTTTCAGATCGATTCACCTCCATTTTGAGGTGACGCTGCAGTTATTTCCGTTCTCCCTGATTAGCTGTGTGTAAACTTTATTACCTTACATTATTAGCAGACACTCTTTCTCCCAAGTGACATACAAGTGAGCAAAGCTTGTGGTCAGTGAGCATCCGTAGAGTTTCTGCCAGGTTTGTACTTATCTTTGTGGGGACTCTCCATTCATTTCTATGGGGAAATCTCTAATCCCGACATGACAACCTTAACCATAAGTAACCAAACAAAAGTTAGTTTTCTGATTGTATTCACAGATCTTTGTGGGAACCCAAAAAATGGTCACCACAATGTCAAAATAACAGGTTTTAATCACATTGTGGGAGATATTTGGTCCCCATAATATAAATAAACCTAATCCACACACACACACACACACACACATTCGCTACATTTTAGCATAAATGCATTATGTAAAATAACATGTGGAATTGTGCACTGACCAAAAATGTATTTTAGAAATGTTGGGGGCAGTTCTGTAGGTTAGGACTCAGAAGGTTGTTGGTTCCCAGATCCCGTGGTCAGCAGAGTGATGTCACCATTTTGCCCTTGAGCAAGGCCCTTAACCCCAGTTGCTCCAGGGACTGTCTGACTCTACTGTCTCCTATACCAGGTTCATTAGGTGGCCTCCTGAGATGCTTTTCCAGCTCTCCTGAAGGAGGTCCCACATATGCTGAGCATTCATTGGCCGCTTATCCTTAATTATGTGGTCAAACTCCTCCAAAACCATTTCTAGTGTGGTTAGGTCAGGTGGTCAGGTCATGTGATGCAACACTGTATCATTCTCCTTTGTAGGCGTCTTAGTGTGCCCAAACTTTTGACTTGTACTGTAGGTAATATTTTTTGCATCCTATTAGGAATGAGCTAATTAGGGACAAAATTACTTCTTGTGTGATCTAAATATTTTGCCCAACTGAGAAGCAACTTCACCAGTTATCTTTAACTTTCTTATTGATAAATGTTGTACATTTTCATAAACTTATATATTAAACCAGATGTTGTTTATGTAACAATATTAATATTAGGAGTGTAAATCTTCATCCCAAAGGTTTCCTTTTACCTTTAATGTCTGGGGACCAAAAATGTAAATACAGGTCTATTAGAATCAGGTGCTGACAACTCTCATTAAAAACAGGTATTTAACTGTCACTAAAAGACCACAGAGGCAGTTCTGCATCTTCCCGCAGGTGAGGTCATCATAACGTGTTTGGTAGCTCATCAGTCGTCCGGCATGCAACTAACAAGGTTTAGTCTCTTCTGAGATTCCTGCCCCATTATGGTTATAGTTAGTAAAGGTTATAGGATAATGTTACCTTGCAGCATAAGATATCATGAGATGAGATGAGATAAGATGAGGTAAGATAAGATACGATAACATAAGATACAACAAGATAAAAAGCTTTATTGTTGTCATACTTCCATATGATGAAATTTAGTTAACATCTCTTTTTGCAGACCTTTCACAAGAAAAAAAACAGATTGTAAAAAATGAAATATAGGTTAAAATTGGTCATATGAGAATAAACATATAGGAAGCAGTAAACAATTTGAGGAGTCTATGATTATGCAGTGAAATTTGTTTCAGTGTATTGAGTTGTGGTATTTTCAGCTGTATTCACAATATTTCCCACGAAGTGACATGTTGATCAGTTTGCAGAGTGGAGAGGGGAGAAAACAACTCTGGGAAATAAAGAGTGTCTCAGTCTGTTTGTCAGGATCTGATTGCACTGTACCATTTATCAGATGGTAATGGTGCAAACAGATGATGACTTGGCATTCAAAGGTTTAAATTTAATATCTCACACTTATAATAATTGACAGAATCTGGATGTTTCAGCAGAAAAAACTCCTTAAAATACTCCTTAACTGAGAGTAGCTTTAGGCATTTAAAATCCCCACTTTAATTATTCAGCCTGGAAAGTTTTCCTTATTAAGCTGCGAGAGTTTAATGAAAGGCCTTCTCATCTCCATCAGGTTTCCCACCTGTGTGATGTAAGCATTTACAGGGAACTCACACACTGGCAGGTAATTCCTAGCATGGAAAAAAAGGAGAAACTAACTGCCTCTATTGTGGGGCGCCCCCCTCAGGCTGAGAGGGTACTAACCCCCTGAATCTCTCAGACACAAGTCATCCACCATCTGGGAGCACTGAGCCAGACCAAAGTCTGCAGTCACTAACTGCATCTCTTTTACTGGTGTTGAGGTTACCGGCCTCTAACAGACTTGGGTGGCTGGTCTTTGCATTTTCACAGAGTGCTGGGAAACAGACATGATTTCATACCTGTTTTTCCTTCAAAACATGCTGGGACTAGACGACATACGCCAGGCAAAATCCCATCCTACCCGAGTCTAGCTGCAGGAATGCATGCAGTGAAAGTTACCCAAAATATCTCCTATTATCCACATTTAGAATGGAGGGGGATACTGATGTCAACAGTGTACATGGTCATTAGGGCGTCCCGCAAAATGTTCATAAATAAGACTTTAATATTAATAAAAATAAAATAGATCAAAACAGAAGTTGACTGCATTGCACAGATTTTGGCTGCCGCTAAGCTAGAAATTGTGAAGTCATTGGTGCAGCTTCAACGTATTTTTTAATGTTCAGGTATGAAACCACAGCCTGTTTAACGAAGGGCTGCCTCATTAAATACAAACCCCTCCCACTGAATATGCATATTCTCGCGGCTGCCGTGAAGAATGCGCTCGCCGTCCCACATCACCTGCCTTTTGCGTTTGCATGTCACCAGGGCCAGGGGGCGCTGTCTGAGCGGCTGAGGAGCTTCAGCATGCAGGACCTGTCTGTCATCCAGAGAGATGCCTCTCCACCCGGCGTCAGTCCGGGGGCGACCCGGTCCGCCACGGGCCACCCCAGGGCCAGGATGACTGCCCGTAGCAACTCGGAGGCAGCCACCTCTAAAAGTAAGGACCCCCCCAAGCCCTGACAAATAACTGCCCCCACCGTCTTTAGACGAAAATGTATCTGCCATTAGAGGACAATGCTCTGTATCTTTTAGCCCATAATTCAATAAGGAAAGAGTTTTTTTCTAAGGAAGAACTGCTAATTATTGCCACTAATTATTTAATCAGCGAAATTGCGTATTAAATGTAAAAAATTTAGAAAGAAATCAGACTTAAATGTCGTCCCATAAACTCAAAAAGATCAAAGTGGGTTCTAGAGAATTCTGGGTCATTCACGACCCTGAAAATCCAGTTTCTGGAGTGGTGATCTCTCCTATTGATTACTGTTAATAACATCAAAATTAGAACCCAGCATTAAATGTCCATCCGCCCACTTTACTGAGACCTTGCTTCCATCTAATAGAACTTGGACCATAACAATCAGACTGAAAAATAATTGGTCCTACATGCTTTTATATATATTGTTTGTACCTTGGGGAACAAAACTGTAGCAGTGCTGTGCCCTTTTTCTCACAGTGTAATGCAGTTCCTCTCCTCTTTGGGCTTGGTTTGGATCTACATCATGATACATAGACGAAACCAAGATGAAAAGTAGTTCTCATAGTTGTCATTTCTGGGAGTTAAGGCAGTCCCAGTGTTGGCAGCTAAATCACATAGCCAACATTGTGTACTGGGAGTCTGGGACTTGGAAATGCTCTATTACCATCAGCAAGACATTCACACTTTTCTGGCTACATCGCTAACAGCCTGGGCTTCCAAGTTAGTGTTCACGCTGTTCCTGTCACTGTAACGGCTGAAGCATTGCTGAGGAAAACAAGTCGCTTTGAGATGGACCAAGTCCAATCTGGACCACATTCACAATCTCAGTGACTCATCAAGGCATATTTAAGCTATCAGAGAGTGATGTAATTCTGTGCGACCATAAAATCATTTTCAGAAACATTTCAAATCTGACTGGGAGCACAGATTTTGTAATTGAAGGAAGGAACCATCACCAGAATCCTATAATAGGTATGCCTATTTTATTTATTCCAAACTGGTATTTTTCACTTGTATAATTTGTGTACTTCATTCGCTAATATATTATTAAAAAAAATTCATCACCCAAAAGGTGTGTGATCATGTCACTCAGTCCATGCCTTCTTAGCCAATGTAGCAGCTCATCCAGCACCCATTGGACAATCGGTGTGTCCCTCAGCATTGGCAGCCAGTAACATGCAGGCAGCACTGATAGTCCGTGATCACCCAGGCACATGACCCAGGGAAAGCCAATCAGGCTGATGGCTCATTAAAGGCAGCCATCTTGGTCTTCCTGTCACATACATGTAGAAAACATGAAGCTGGTGATGCTGTTCTGTCTATAATGGCAGAACTTTCCAAATGTATCAATTCACTCAGCTTAATACACTTTATGTTACAGATGTTACCACACCATCATAACTTTAAAAATTTGTACATTTTGAATTCCTTTAATTATCCTTTAATTTGTTCAAATTTTTAGTAACACTTTACATGAGGGGGCAGCAAATTGATAACCCAGTTATTACCTATGTACAGATCATGAACTGTTAGGATTGAAAAATAATGAAGGAACAAAGATCAGTATGTAACTAACACTTAGCTTCTGGTTAATTAATACATTGTGCCCCCTCGAGTAAAGTGTTATCAAATTTCAAATGACTGTAATATTATATTTAACTAAAATGTGGTGTATTATAATATGGTAAATGTGGTGTATTATAATATGGTAAATGTGGTGTATTATAATATGGTAAATGTGGTGTGCAGTGGCATTGAAGCCAGGGTGTTGCCCTGCTTTCTGCTGCCTCCCATAGACTCCATGCCTCTGCAAAACTGTGTATGCAAAATACTTAAAGGATGGATTCATCTATGGAAGGATACAAGCTTAAATCCTACCACGTATGAGATGATGCACACTGTGTTTTAACATTCCATCTTGATTAAGATCCCCATGAACAGAATACATTGGATGTCACTCTGTAAGTGGTTGGGGCGGTCACTCAGTGCCTTTAACTCAATGGCTGCAGGAGACATTGTGGCCTCGCTTAGCACTGGGAACGTCCTCATTTGCTCTGTGTAAGGTGTTCCCCCCCTCCCTCCCCCCCGCCAGGGTGTACGCACTGCAGCCACTGTAACATCCAGGCTGGTGAGTGGCGGCTCATGCTTTGCTATGGGGTGTTAGCTCAGTTTGCATGCATCAGCTACCGAGCTCTGTGTTCCCAGGCTGAGGCATTCAAGGCTGGAGATGTTGCTGCTTTAGGGATGGGGAAGTCCCATCGGTGTGATCTTCTGCTTAGCTCACCGTGACTTACCCCTGTGTACTTGGATGGCTGAGACGGATGCTGGCGGTTACACCTCAGAGGCAGTCAGAATAGTGCCTGGATTATGAAGATGTTATTAGAGGCAAAAATAGCAGTAATGGTAAGCAGTGGTAGGGTTTTTAACTCCAGGATTGAGAGAGACTCTCTCAAGAGAAAGGCTCTGTT